CTCTCTCAAATGCATTTTAAGACCAAGCTCCTAAGAGTGTAAAAACTGAGGTGGAAGGGGAGGGACCGGAGCCCACAGCCTTTTAAAAGCAGAACAAAACAAGTGGTGAATGGCACAACCCATGATGGGCTGGGTGGGATTTGTGTATCACTTAGGCAAAGCGGCCACAGGGCTAAAGAACAGGATGTCTCAGGAGTAAGACAAGGGTGGGGCCTTCCTGAGAGCTCGCATTTGCATCCTGAGAGGCCAGTGGTAAGCTCGGAGAAGCAGAGGAGTCTCCAGCAGCCCCGACTGGGACTGGCACCGCTAAGTGCGAATGTACTTGCTGATTGAGCTTAGGAGGAAGGGTCCCCTGGGACACCATCTCGATTCCCTCTTTGCTTCCTTGATGGCAAGCAATTAGAGGTCCATCTTAGTAAAGGCGCATGAAGGTACACTCACTCGCTCACACCATGTGTCAGCTCTGAAGAGAGAGGAAACAGGGACACCCCCTACACACACTTCTGGCTGGCCCCCATCCAGTGTCTTGAGCTCAGAAAAAGGTTTCCTTTCCCTTAGGAACCAATGTTCCAGGAGTCTATTGCTGAATTCAGTGCAAACAGAGTCGAGATTGGCTCAGAACCCCGACAGTACCTTTTATCTGGGTATCTTAGCTAGGAGAGGTGTTGTTTTCCTCTAGTGATGAAATAGTCGCTCACTGTGTCATGTCATTCTAAACGATGGTACTCTATGTCTCCCGCCCACTTCTTGCAATCAGGTTCCCATTGACATTTGTCATCTGTTTCTACTTCTGTCCAGCTGCCTCCAAAGGACAGCAACAGGAGAAGCGTCAACAGGAGCACAAACACAGCTGTGTGTTCATTCGGTCCAGGTCTGTGCTCAGTTCAAACACCATGTGATGTGACTGGGAGTCCAGAAGCCTCCCCGGCCACCTGCTTCTCTGCAGCTGGTGTTAGGGCACAGGGTTATCGGTGTTTATACCATAGTCGTTTTGGTTCCTGTGGTCTTCCGAGCAAGGAGAGGCCCTTGCAAGAAACAGGAGCAGAGAGAAGAGGTGGGATAGTGGGCCCCACCAGAGACCGTGCTTCAGCAAGAACAGCTCTTTTATGTACCTGCCTTTTAAGTCACAATACATGAAATATGGGTACTGGATATGATGACCGGAGAACTCCTGGGTAAAATTATCTGTAGGAATATTATAAGGAATCAAGTTCCAGTCATAACCACCACTTAAAGGTTGTGCGCTGGAAGTTAAATTTGAACCAGGAGAAGTGGAAGAGAGCAGACAGGGACTCGAGAGGGAATCACATGGAGGCTCTTGGCTGTCAAGAGTTTAGCAAAGAGTGGGGCTAGCAAATCAGAGAGGCTCCTTGCTTTAGAAATCAAAGAACCTAGACAGAAACAGAAAAATACTATGGCATTGCTTATATGCAGAATGATTTATGAAAAGTCCAACTCAGAAACAAGAATGTGAAACTGGTTTAAAGGACTAGGGAGCTGGGGAAGTAGGGAGAGGTTCATTAAAAAGGTTCTGTGAGCTGAGGTACAGCAGGCCACTGCAATTAATGACACAGCAGTAAGACTTTTGCTAATTCTTATTTTGACCTAAAGCATGTGCATAACAGAAAAAGAGATAATAGTGTGTGTGTGTGTGTGTGTGTGTGTGTGTGTGTGTGTGTGTGTGTGTGTGTAGGGGTGTACTTTACTTCACTATGGTAATCATTTTACAATGTACACATGTATGAAAAGATGACACTCAAAAATGAACAGCTTTCTCTGTCAGTTACACCCAGGTAAAGTTAAAGAGACAGCAAAACAAGCTAAACCCGCCTACTCTCTGCTGTGGCCGGTGCCTATAGACTAGTCCTGTCTACACAGCCACTGTCAGGGAAGGGCCAAACATCAATGTCCGGTGGCAGAGTTATGTAACTGTTTCAGATGAGGATTCAGTGGAAACATAGCCATGGACAATGAACCAGTGTATGTCATGCAATGAAAAATTTTAATAAAGAAATATGCACGACACAAACACACATATATACAAATTATCCTAAGAAGTAATGATAGATCCAAATCAAAGAATTTTGAAGTTTAAGTATGTATCCTATATAAGCATATATTGAATTTGTGTGTGTGTGATGTCTATGTGTGTGTGTGTGTGTGTGTGTGTGTGTGTGTGTGTTTGTATGTGTGCCTGTGTGTGTGGTAGGGCAGAGGTGTCCACCTTGCTGCACATCAATTAGGCTAGGCTTACTGGCCAGTGGGCCCCAGGGAGCACTCTAGCCCATTGGGCATTTGGATAGCTAGTACTCCTTTGAAAGATAGGTGTGGTAGCATACTCTAGTTATCCCAGCACTGGGGTCTGGGGAGTTATGGGGCAAATTCTGAGGACTCTTTGGATATCCAGTCTATAGAAATGGCAAGCTCCAGGTTCAGTAAGAGATCCTGTCTCAAAAAATAAGGTGGAGAGCAATAGACAAAGACATGGATTTCAATAGCTGGCCTCCACTCTCTCCCCAGCCACATATATATACATGCATAGATCTCCCACAAAGTTATTAAATAAAAATACCCTGCTAACAACTGAAGAAGAAATGGCTGGAGTCTACAAAGCTGTTTCTAAATCCCTTACATAGCTACCTGTCTAGGTAATTACTAGAAACTGTTGATAACTGAAAAATGAGTGTTTACAAACCTCTCAAGGAGACTGAGATGATCCTAGGAGGAATCCATACCTAAAGGCAAAAACAAAGCTAAGCAGCCCTCAGCAAACAAAGGACTGTCTAGAGGGCGCCACAGGCACGCCAGCCTTGCAGAGGCCATGGATGACTGTCTGGGCTCTGTACTAAGCAAATATGGACATGGGAGAGAAGCTGCATTTAAAGAAGGCACGCAATGGATGCCTACAGCAATTTGAACCTTTGGTGATGTGGATATATGATTTAAGCCAATAAACAAACAAACAAGCAAAAATGTTCAAGCCTGGATGTGGGGTATACACCTGTAATCCTAGCACTTGGGAGGTAAAAAGTGTGGAGGAATTTTTAAACGTTCATGGTAATCAAGGAATAAACCAACCAAACAAAGTGTAGCCAGATGGAGAGGAGGGGGGGCAGACCCCTTCCCAGGTCAGGGCCCTTCTCCTCAACAAGCTCCTTCTTGGTCCTCACACAGCCCTGCTGAGGCTTTGCTGCACCCGTGTGGCCAACAGGAGGCCTAACAGCCGGGCCCCGACAGACAGGCCCCAGGACACAAACTGCAAAAATTATATTGATGGATTTCCTCCTGGCCCTTCTCCAGCTCATACTCAGAAACATGGAGCATCTGTAGCAGCAAGTGATGGACAAGAGACAGAACCCTAAGGAAACGGTTGAGGTGCAGGATCCAGGGGACCAGAAAGGCCTGGATGTCACCTCAGCTGGAAAGAAAGTGGCCAGAGGGCGATGGGGACTCAGAAGATGGGGGCCAGAGATGAGCAGCAGAGAAAACAGAGTCCTACAGTGGGAGGAAGTTCCATCAAGATGGGGGGAATGTCACTGGGAGGGCGAGGAGGGGATGATCCTGCCTCAGGCAGTCTGAAGACACAATCTCTGTGAGTGTCAGATAACCAAGAGCGGATCTAGTGGACTCCCACTGAGAACAGTTCGACTTCTCAGCCTACTGTTACAGGAAAACCCCACAGCCATACAGGGCATGGACCTAAAATGCAAAGCAGCTGTTGAAAGCACAAAGTCACTGCTGGAGAGATCAAGCCAGACCCCTTAGCCTTTGACATTTTGTTATTAGGCATTAATACTGAACCCCATATGGACTAATTCATATTTTCTTAGCTCCCAGTGAATTTTTCTGTTTTATTTACTGGACCTATAATTATCACTAAGGGTAACAGGGCTCTCTGACTGACAAATGACATTTTCAGAGCATGGATGAGCAGTATGGGTGTCCAGGGACACACACTCTGAATCAAACATGACATGACTTACCCCATTCTAATCTCTCATGTGTGAGCCAGGGTTAAACCCAATAGGATCCTTCTATGTGGAAATTCACAGGATTAAATCCCTGAGTGGCGCTGGACAAATCACCAACCTTTCCGAGTCCCAGACCTCATCTGTAGGACGAGGATGATCTCATACCATCTCACAAGGATGAGGGAGTCAATAGTTACAATGTGCCCCAAACAGTAACTGGCATAGACAATGTCAAAAGAATTCAGCAACTCAGAGCCACAGCTGATTTTTCAAAATGGGACTGAAATGTAAGTCATTCATTTAAAAAGAAAAAAACAAAACAAAACAAACAAAAAAACAGGCTTACAAAACCACAAGTCTCTTTTTAAACTAATAAACATGATTATTGCTATAATTAACTGACATTAAATCAACACGCCTCCTTGTCCACCTCTAAAACCTAGTGTTATTTTCAGGAGAATCAGACTTAGGGACTTCATTCTGCTCCAACCCCCCCTTCCCCCGCTTTAACATTTCTTTATTCATTTGTGTTTTGTGATACTCAAAACTGAATCTAGGGTTCTGTGCATTTTAGGCAAGCATTCTATGACTGAGCCACACTCCCAGCCCACTCCCTTTTAACGTCCTTATAATAGTCCTTGTTATGACCATCCTCCCTATCAATCGCCTTTAATCCCAGCACTGGGGAAGCAGAGGCAGGCAGATCTCTGTGAGTTCGAGACCAGCCTGGTCTACGATCTAGTTCCAGGACAGCCTCCAAAGCCACAGAGAAACCCTGTCTCGAAAAAAAAAAAAAAAAAAAAAAAAAAAAAAAAAAACAAACAAACAAAAGAGTAAAGAATACGCATGTGGTGTGTTTACATGTGTATTTGTGTATACACCTGTGTGTATGTGGGGAGCCCATGAAGCAGACCTGGTAGGCACTGCCCAGCTACTTGGGTATCCAGGCAAGCCCCATTTTCAGTGGACTCCCCCTTCCCTCCTGCTCTGGTCCATGAGCCCTCCCCATCCTCCTGTGGCCACACCCACCTATTGGTGTTCTCTAGCACCTCCACCTTCTTCCGAAGTTCCAAGTTCTCAGTTGAACATGACTCCACTCTGAGGAGAGAGGACAAAGACACCCAGTCACTCCCCACAGGGCAACTGCTCAGCCAGGAGCTAAGGTTGAGGTGAATGACATCATGGAGAGAGAAGTAGGGTGGTCAGGGGAGAAGAGAGTGGGAGTCTAGAGGGACAACATGGCAGGCCAGGTCTCTCCTCGGGAAGGAGCACAGGCTGGACGTTCAAAGTTCCCGTTAGGCATCCCAGTCTGATTCCTCACCTCTTCCTATTGCTCTCATCCGTCAGTACACTGCAGGATGGAGAGCCGCCAGCGGGCTGCACTCCTGGCCAGGCCTGCTACAAAGCTTAGAGCTTGAGTGAAAGGCAGACAGGACCAGAACCCAGGACAGTGATGTGCTGGAGCCCAAGTGCCCAGAGAGGTGGAGGAGAGAGATCCATAGGGATAGCCTTGGTTATGGATGCCTTTAGGACACGTTAAAACAGAACAGGAGTGCTTGATGCTACATCAGCAACACCTAGATCAGGTCATAGACACACTACTTCCCATAGAAACTTCTAGAACCAGTTAGAAGCCAGCCAGTGTCTTCTCTCACATGCACAAATGAGAAGGACTCAGTTGTGGGTCTTCTAGGACGTCCTTCCTATCTCAAAGTCACAGACACTTGTCAGATGAAGAGCTACTTTCAGGGTCAGTAGAGATGGCAACCAATTCACACTTCTCTCAGAATTCTTAGGGCTTTCCAGGGCTTTCAAAACGAACAATATATCCACAGCATGTATTACAGAATACAGGAAACACCAGAGTCTGTGTTATTTGAGGCCAATAGGACCTGGGTAGGCTGAAGCTGGGCATCTCTGAGGAGTTTCAGGAATGTCAATAACTAAGGCTTGCTCAGGGAGCCTAGACGGCAGCACTCAAGAACATGGTCAAAAAGCAGTGATTCACACACCACGGTTATAAGCAGTTCCTCCCACATGACCACGAGGGGGCAGGCCAGCACTGCTGACGCACTAGGGGAATCATGGACGCTGAGTTGAGTCCCTCACCCTACTTGGTGACTGTGACGTGAAAAATACAACCAGTCAGTGAGCAGGCTTACTTTTTCTCCAGGCTGTCCATATATTCTTTCTTCTTTCTCCTGCTTTCTTGGGCAGAAATCTGTTAAATGAGGAGAGGGGATGAATTTCCAATTTTGTAAGTACAACAGGAGTGGATGGAACACGGGAAGCCACCTGCACAAAGATCGGCCAAACTGGCCTCACTTATTAGGTGGCCACTAGGTGGCTCCCCTTTGTTTAAAATGTGGGCTCTCATCTCTTTACCACCAACCCCGTTTCTGGCCCAAGCAGATCTTCCCAACCCACCAGCAAACTCCTGGGTCACAGACTGATCATTGAAATAGCTCAGAAAGATGATGTCAGCTTTCTGGACCTCAGCTGGCTCAATTATATATAAAATCAGCCAACTGGGCTTGGATAAGTATAAACTGTCTGCTGGCTCTGCATGAGGGTACAGAGGTGTCACTCTGGTTCCCTCTCTGCCTGGGTCACAGGCCTGGGCTTCACCAGCCCCCTTCAGCCCTGGAGGCAACAGATGAGCCCAGACAGAGACCAGGTGGCTACTGAAGTTTGTTTTTATTACAGACCACTATCAAGAAAAACAAATCTTTAAGTTCCCCAGCATAAAGCCACAGTGGTTAACAAATACAGGACAGCTAGAAGAAAATATTATATGCATCATTAAAAAATTTGGAAGGCTGGGGTTTTTAAAAAGACATGTAAAGGGAGATTCTTGTATCTTCTGCTTCTGAACAGGCTATTATGCAACAAGGAATATACACACGGGTGTGAGGGCTCTCACCCCTGGTGCGTGGGAAGAGCTGGATGGGCAGATGGTGTCTATGCTCCCGGGCTAGCTCCAGGCAGTCCTACTGTGGACTTTGGGGAGGGGGGCTGTGAGTTCTTCCTTCTCTGTCCCAGAAATGCCTAGAGTGGAACAGCTCACCTTATTCTTGATTTTTCTCCGGATTTTCTTCAGGGCCTTCTCCTCAGATTTTGTCAGGGGCAGTTTGGTAGGAATAGGATAGCCCTCAGCAATCAAGGTCCTCTTCTCTTCCTCCGTCAGGACCAGTGGACCAGATCCCTGTAGCTTCTGTGCAGAAAGGGAGCACACAAGGGTCAGAGAGGAAAAATGGCCTCTACATAGAGTGTGGAGAACCTGTCACAATGACTGGGGAACAGTGGGCGCATTCAAGTAAGAGACAAGAGAGGGAAGGTGTGCCTGCCTGGGTAATTTTTTGATTTACTTATGTGTGTGAGGCACATGTAGTGTGTGCTTTACGTGTATGTGTGGTGCATGCATATGGAGGCCAGAACAGGACATAGGGCATCCTCTAAATTGTAGTGAGACAGGATCTCTCACTGAACCAGAAGTTTGATATTTTCACCCAGGTTGGCTGACCAGTGAGCTCTTGGGATCCACCTGTCCCAACCCCCCAAGGCTGGTGTCACAGACTCAGGCATCCATGCCCGACTTTTTTAGGAGGGTGCTTGTGATTCAAACTCAAGTCCTTGTGCTTGCAGAGCAAGACCTCACATCCCCTGAATCACCTCCCCAGGCTCCCAAGTGGGTGTTTTAAACTCAAGAGTTCTAAATCAAAGGGAAGCCTAAAGATGTTACGATAAATATTTCCACCAATAGCTGTCTGAACCCTGTAGCCACATGGGCGCTTTCTGCCAGGCCGCCCAAATTAGGAAGTGGGTCCTCTCTCTTTCTCCAGAGTCACCATGTGATTCCGGGATGAGGACACCAATGGAAGGCATTAGATAAGATAAGTCTTATAAAATATATAGATCTGTGATAATTAAGACTGAGCTAACAGATAAGAAATCCTAGTCTTTGGCCAAGCAGCATTTGTACCTAATATAAGTCTCTGTGTATATTTTGGGTCCCTAACTCAGCGGGCAAAACTCGGGCGGCTGGCGGAAAGATTTATCGTAACATAAAGAGGGCCCCATCTACCCATATTTAGCACATGCAAAGTAACAGTAAAGAATTCACACCCCCAAACTCTGGACACTTAGGGGTGATGGAAAATTCCCTCGGGTTCGGCTTCATTCAAGACTTACATTACTCTTCTACTGAAGGACTAATTTTATAACCAGCTCTTTCCACAACACAGTTGCTCTTCCCCTCCTTACAGCTAAGGAAGGGCCTGAAGTCCCAGAGATACACCAGCAGGCACCCTCCATGGAAGTGCAAGCTTCCGGAGTCCTATGCTACCCCATCGTCAACGAAGATGAGAACCACAGCTCATCCATTTAGCCCAGGACACAATGATGCCTCTCTCATAGTCACACAGGCTGACTCACTCACTGGTGCCTCATCTCCATGCCCCCTGCCACAGAGGACTGAAAACAAACCCAGTCTCTGAAGTGGCTTAGGATCAAGACTTAAGACTGAAGTGACACACCCGTGAAATCTCAGAACAGTTCAGTGCTAAGCTGTGATGCTGGCTGAAGGAATATTCAACTTCTGGAGAAAGAGAACCCTTGTGAGTTTATGGGATGAGAGAAGGCTGAGAGGAGGAGATGAGACTAGAAGACTGCTCTCTGAAGAAGTGATATCTTCTAAGGATTGGGGGGAGGTATGTTCTGAGCAAAAGGCGGAGCTCGACTCAGAAAAGTAATGGGAGATGCCTCTGCCCAGAGCAGGTGAGCTCATGAGGCCAAGACAGCCAAGGGTGAGCTGTTTAATACAGCAGAAATTTTAGGGCCCCACAGGGCACCTAGCATTAAACACCACCCAACTGCTAGCAAGAGTATGGGGGCGGGAACTTTGCCCCAAAGTGTGCAAAATGGGTAATTGGAAGGAGAGGCAGACACAGAGGATGAAAATAATTCCAACAATCCAAAGCCAGGTTCAAGTAGAAAAGGCAAAGAAGGGGACATGAATTCCTTTGTTCTCAGTAACGGTGACTTGTTAAGATCTAAAACTTATGGGGACAGATGAATCTCAAACTTTGAAAATCATGCTGATGGATGGTCCCCATTCCTTCTTAAAATACTTCATTTATATTTTCAGGCATGTATGAAAATTTTCAAAGAATAAAATATTATCTTTAAAAATTTGTTCTTCATGATAGTATAATTTAAAAACTCTGTGATTTTTAAGACCTCCTAAGAATCAGATTCCCTCTTCAGAACAATAAAATGTGAATTCTCTATGCCTCCTTTTATGTGTGTGGGATGAATGATGACCTGTGATTTTTGCCCCAGGTTGCCCCCAACCCCCCTTAATACTCACAAAGATTAAACTATGTTTTTGAGCTTTTGACATCAAAGAACTTAATCTCAGAGAGACTTTCTTTTCAAATTTCACCCAAGACGGCTTATCTAAAAGATGAAAGGCACTCCCTGGTACACACTAAGTAAGCATCGTCTACAGTAATGGCAAGTGTTTATGGTGGAACTTTGAGGGCAAAAGAACAGAAACGGTTTGCCTTAGTCTTCTAGCCCTGGAGAAGAAAATAACAAATCGGTAAGAACTGGACCTGTGTGCATGAAAACCAGAATCACTGCCATTTGTAGACAAGTCTCTACAAAACATGTTCTTTAGGCTTCTGACTACTCCACTTTGGTGCTACATCTTGAACCAGTCTGCATCCGTCTGGAGGCTTGGCCTGGCTTGTGGTGCCACTGGAAAGTGTGGATGTGAAGAGCAGACTGATGCTGGGTCTCACGGGACTGGGTTAGTTACCATGGGGGTGTGCTGCTACACAGGTCCCTGTCTCCTGTGCGTGCGTGCGTGCGTGCGTGCGTGCGTGCGTGTGTGTGTGTGTGTGTGTGTGTGTATGATTGTGTGTGATGTGTGTGCATGTGTGTATGTGTATGAGTGTGTATGTTGTGTATGAGTGTGTGTATGTGTGTGTATGAGTGTGTGTGTGTATGTGTGTGTGTCTGTGTGCATG